GGAATCTTATTATATTCAGAAGTAAGTTGTGGGATTTTTTTTCTTACTGAACTGTTTTAGGTTAGATTGATTTGGTTTCATAAATTCTTGTGTATTGAGTACTATTCACATTTTCCCCTTTATACGCTTAAGTTCTTTAAAACTTGGGATAGTTCTAAGTTTACTCTGTCATTTCCTAAACCAAGTACCTGCTATAATTTCAATAGACGGGGTGGAGAAGAAAAGGTTCAAGACTTAGATAGCCATGTCTTTCTCTTGTTCTTAAATAGCATAGATTTTGCCACCTTCTAGAGTTGATGGTTTAAGTTCTGAACCCTCAATTTTTGTTACTGTACGTGTATGGGAAAGGTTCTCTTTCTGCACTCAGGAACGAACACATAAAAACCTGATTTCTTTTGGTTCACTCTGCAGCACTGGGGAGGGTCTAGTGTGTCTTATGGTGGAAACAGGCTATTTCACTTGGCTGTGTGGAAGCTCACAAACATGATCTAATTTCTAAATTCTAGGATTCTGGACATTGTTTCCTCCTATAACAAAGGATACGTGGTCTGGCAAGAAGTGTTTGATAATAAAGCCCAGGTAAGGTGGGGAAAGAAGATATTCTTCTTCTAACAGTATTGTGAGAGGCCTCCAAAATATGGTATTAAGTTTATGTCTCTTGAGAATTAAAGCAAGTCTGTCTTCAACAGGATGACATAAGTAAATTTTCCCAGGTGTGGGGCCCAATTTGAAACTACCATCTATCAAACAGATGGAACAGGTTTAAACAGGTGGAACAAAAGCTTCAGCATGGAAATGTTTTATAAAGGTGAAGGCAGATAATATAGCAAACTACAGAACACCAAAGTAGAGCATGAAAGTTTCTGTGCATTTCTATATTTAAAAATTTTTTACATTACTCTGCATCTGGACCAATCATAACAAGTGCTTGAAGTCTGAGCTAGTGACAGAACATGGTGTGTGTATGTAAGAACCCTCTCTTGGAATTAACTGTCTATCATATGATCTAGACTTCACTTCAGTATGAACTTGGTTTCAAACTAACACACTGGTGATCAGCTTGAGACTGTCTCTGGAAGAAAACAGTTGCCAGAAGGTAACTTCTGAAATGCTTCTCCTTCGAAGAAAATACACCTCTCAATTTTGAAATTCATCATTCTTTTTCCTAGTATTAGCAAAAAAAGAGATAATCTTCTAGGTTAATTTTCTGCCGTGCTTCTTTGTAGCTAAAGCCAGACACTGTCATTGAAGTATGGATGGGAAACAACTATGCTGGAGAACTCAGCAGAGTCACCAAAGCAGGCTTCACTTCTATCCTTGCAGCGCCTTGGTACTTGGACTACATTAGTTATGGGCAGGACTGGAAGAAATACTACAGTGTTGAACCACTTAACTTCCTTGGTTTGTTATTACTTTTTATATGCCTCTTGTGTCCATGGATGTTTTCGGTTCATTGTAAGGCTTAAATGGAAAGAATCAAATTATTTAGCGATGTTGTAACTGAGAGAGGGTAATCAAAGATCAAAGTCGTTAACTTCCCATGTGCAAAAATGTTACATACCTTTCTTGAGCATCAGCTTGAATGTGTATCTCTGTATGTGAGATAAGATGCTGGACTGGGTGGACAGATACCTATGCATTAGGGGTAGAGATGTGTGAAATGGTGTTGGTAGACAGCTGTTGGTTTTGCTATATACCAAAAACTTTAAATTGATTTTGAATAACTTTAGGTTACATTAGACACTAGCTCTGGGGTGGGGCAAGGAGTTGGACCACCTGTTCCCAGGGGCAGGAGATGCAAGTCTGCTTTTGGTTTGTTTGACTCAGTGCTTCTAGGAACAGATTCCTACCCACAGGACATACAGGTTTGCTCCCTTTTCCGTGGCAAGCCTTGAACTCTGCATCTCAAAGATTCTATACTATTAGTTTTTTTTTTAAAAAAAAAAAAAAAAAACGTTTTCTCCCTCTGGCTAAAGCTGATACAAATATATCTTACGCTCTCCTTGGCTTTCATTTTATATAAGGTATCTTTCTGGGCTGATTATGTAGAACAGCTGACTTCCACAGCTTTTATAACGACCATTCACTGAATAATAAAATGAACAGTTACATCTGGGTTAAGCCTTGTCTTCAGAGGATAAAGATAAAAATTCTTTCCGTCAGAGAAAGGAAAAGTTTGCAGAAAGCTTGGACTCTCTGGGCAAATTGTCTGATCATTCCCACATCCAGTAACAAGACTACTAAAATATTACGTTAATGCTCAGGATATGTATTTTATGTGATAAAGTAAACACAAACTAAACAGCAATACTTTAAGTACCGGAAAATGAAATTTATGATGTGCCTTCTGGGCAAGCAGCAATTCTAATCTTCTGCCTTGACTCAGGATCTGAAGAGCAGAAGAAGCTCGTGATAGGTGGAGAAGCCTGCCTGTGGGGGGAATTTGTGGATGCAACCAACCTCACGCCAAGATTATGGTATGACTTCTCTAGCTTTAGATTTTAAAAAGCTAGCTCCAAAGAGCATGAAATAATCCAATGGTGCTTTTAGTGGTACTGTTTTCTGATACTGACAATGAACAACTATTAAAAAATGTTGCTTTGGGACATAAGATTTTGTATTAAAGGCTTTAATCCATTCTTGGTAACAGCATATACCTACTCTAAAACTCTATATGCTTTTTCAGGCCTCGTGCAAGTGCTGTGGGAGAAAGACTCTGGAGCAGCAGGAACG